GGTGGTGGTGGTGGTGGTGGTGGTGGTGGAGGAGGAGGAGGAAGGGTTGCTGGTGGAGGTGGCGGTGATGGTGGGAGTGTTGCTGGTGGTAGTGGTGGTGGTGATGGTGGTAAAGTTGATGGTGGAGGTGGTGGTGTTGGAGGAAGAGTTACTGGTGGAGGGATTGGGAGAGTTGCTGGTGAAGGTGGTTGTGGGGGAGGAATCGCAGATTGGCTGCCTGGCATTGGAACTACAACAACTGGAATGGCACACGCTTGACAGCAGCTATTAGTGCATCCTGAAATGCACTCATTTGAAATTGTGCCTGAAAAAAACATGGTGAGTTAACCCTCCCAAGCAGTTCACCTGTAATGCATGTCGCTGTTCTACACGCTGGAACACATTGTACATTACAACCTTCAAAACAAGAAACTGCTGTCTATAAAATATTCATTCAAAAACAAAGTGTTGTCCGAAGCGATTTTGAAAAGCTTACCGGTGGACAGCATGACATCAAAGCGGATGAACAGCAACTTCTTTCTACACGCGACAAGGAAGCTTTCTGAAACATGTGAGAAGCTTACAATGTCTAAAAAGTGGGTACGCAAAGAGGCTAAAACAAAGAAGCTTTGAAGCCAGCAGAACTATTTTGGCAAGAAAATTCTAGGATACTGATTGCTCTACAGCGCCTAATCAAAAGATAAATAAAGAATTCAAGTTGGAAAGGTAATGGCAATTTTCATGAAGTGGAATTAATCTATGAATCATGACACTGAACTTTCAAAAAGAAATGCTAGAAATGAAATGAAAATGTCATAGCTCTTGTAAAAATGACTAACAATAAGTAGCTTTACCAGGGCATTTTTACACAGAAAATAAGCGATAAAATCATTTAAATGTGTCAAAAACTCGAGAAAGTGCATTGGTTAATGTAACTGATTGGTTAATGTAAGTGATTTGTTGCTCACCTCATTATATACCAGAGCTCTCAGGTCAGCTTCCACGAATTGCGCCCTAAAGGCATATAACAGTAAGAAGGTTATGCTGGCACACCTAAAGGCCGAATCCATTGCTTGGTATGGATGGATGGCAATTTGGCACTGACATGGACGAGCTTTTATACATTTCGAAAAATTTGAAAGTGGGTGGAGCTTGTTACAGGACTGGCTTTCGCTAACAGAAACGCACAGAT